CCGAAGACACTACACTACCCATAATCCTCAGCTATTGTTTGTGACGACACCAGTCCGCTTTGCTTGACAAACCCCGTGATTAGTCCTCAAGCTCTGTGATTGGTTGACCTCCAACTGCATTCCATTTCGTAAAAGATAAAATCATACTTTATTCAGCAGTGCTTGCTTTACTCTTTGAGAGTCATCACATAAATGCATTGTAATAAATGGTTCGGCTGCATTAAATATTACACATCTGGCTTAGTTCTTTATTTATCTACAGATATTGGGCCTCAGAATAGACCGGAAACTATTCTATTACTGTTCTGTTTTAATTTCACAATAAAGTTAATAGTAATATTTTGTTTGATATTATTATTTTTTATTAACTAGACTACTGGGTCATGTTAAGATCATCTTTTCTGTGTTGCTGTGGGTTTTTTACATCGCTTTTGTGTTACAATTATCAAAACAATATATGTGTGGATAACAAAATATATCCGTCGTAAACTAAACCGGAAACAGCAGTATAATTGATTGTTAACACTGTAAGCTTGACAGTTTTTTAACCCGCACCACCTAGTGGTTAAAACACGTTATTACACGTTTAGAGTAATTGCAATGCAGGTAGATTTTGTTGCTTTTTAATGACTGTTTTTAAATGCCTTTTTCTTAATGTCTTTCATTTTTGTAAAGCACTTTGAATTGCCTTGTGTTGAAAGGTGCTTTATAAATAAACTTGCCTTGCCTTGCCAAAGGTCTGCTGCATGTTTTGTTGAATGTGTTATATTTGATGAAAACCTTTAAATATTAAGAGGAAATACAAAATAGCAGGAAAGTAGAAGGTCTGATAGAATAGAAAATATCAAGAAGATACTGTAAATGATATCTAGAATAAAACAGTTTAGTGCTGGATGTACAAAGATATTAATAGGAGGATGTGCAAAACAGACAAACTAATTAGGCTTTATTAAAACATTAAATAATACTTTAGGTTAAGGTCTTCTTTTAAATAAGCAAAAAGCTTTGGGGGTATCAACAGATATATATTAAGCCTGATAAAGTATTTAGCATCTAATATCTAGGAGGCGTGTGGCGCTAGCTGGCGCAGTACCGTCTGCTCTAGCTCCAATCTATCATCCAATCATGATACTCGCTGTCCATTGTGAGATTGGACCTAAACCAATCACGACGCGAGTTCACAATGGACGGAGCCAATCACGTCACGGCATCACAATGGACAGAGCTACTCACGGGCACGGCTTCTCCCCGAACCCGCCCCCTCACGCTTTTGATTGACAGTGGACTTGTTGCAGTCCTCGCGAAGCGCATCTGAGATATCCAGAGTAAGTACCAACACAAGCTCAACACTAAATGTTACTTTTTTCCTGTTTGACAGTCGTAAAACCCAATTTTACAACCGTCGCTCGATGTAATTTTACTATTTTGCCGTCAACTTTTACATGACGGTATATGGCAACATCAGGCAACAACAACAGTCTGCATCAAATTAGTTAGCATCGCCAGCATTGCTAACGCAAATGTTTCTATTTTAAATAAACGTTAACTGTCATTTTAATAATTGTCAACAACCATGTGTAAATATGTACATCCGATTGTCCGATTGTTATACAATTATTACATTAATGGGCATGTTGTAATTAGCTTATTACACGTTTTGACCTGTGGTACCACCAGCATTAGTCATACAGCTACTGTATGCAGCCCTTACAATAGTTGTTGACAATAGGTGCGGTGTATACGTGTATACTTATTAAGGTTTTACAATAACCAACTTTAATATTACCCACTGTAATTTGAGATCCCTATCGGTAACGGGGCGTTTTATGAGTTTGTTTATGCGTTGCATGGTTTTAGTGTATTGTTTTAATATAGACACCTAAATGATATAATGATATGCTTTAACTCAGTATTATATGATAATATGAATATGTATAAGTGTGTGTTTATGTGATGCAGGAGGGATACAGTATATTGTTAAATATATATTAAAGATAGCTTTATACTGTATATAAGATTACATTAATTGTAATTCAATATACATACACTCATAATTGATAGAAGGAGAACTTCAGGGTATAAATATTAACATTATGTGTTTATATAAGATAATATGTGTAGATAACATGTATATATACGCGCTTTGAGCACCAGGAAAAGCAATATATAAATAACATGTATTATTCATATTATTCTTATTATTATATATAACTGATAACATGGTATCAGTGTTGTTTGCTTTGCACTGTAGTTTGCTCTTAACACTTGTTATTTTACTTAGATGAGCACTAAACCCAAAACCCACAAAGCGATGGGAGAGGCCGAATGGCTGGCCCGGCTGAAGGCCTTTGCTAACTCTGGAGTTTGGCCTTCAGAGGAGGGGAATAAACCAGCTCCGAGGCAACGGAAATGGTATGACCTCTATCAGAAGGTAAAGTATAGCAACACATGTACCTATTACTTAGTACTTATTAAATTAAAAGTATACTGTATTACTGAAAATAGACAAGATACTGGTACAAATATTATCAATCGAGTGACTCACTCGAGACTAAAAAATAATTATGATCATTTCAGATTGAAAAATGCCCCATGCAGGCCCGTAGACAGACCACCCTCTTTGGCGGGTCCATGGCCTGCAACTGTGGATTTCACGTCATTAAGGTGATGTATTTGAAAATAAAATAACATTATTGTTGTTCTTGCTTGCGTGCCTTTTACAGTGCTTTAATGCTGTAGCTGTTACATAACATTTTGTATTGCATTACATGATTGATAGATTGAATGCTGTTGTTTTAGCCTGCCAATGCCCCGCAGTCTGTGGCCTCAGTCTCAGCCCCTGGAGCAACTGCCTCAGCCCAGCGGACTTTCCTGCGGCCCCCTCCGAGTTTATCAATGGTAAATATTTCCTTAGTAATTACTGTTTTGTTTTATTGATTTAGTTTTTCTTGCACAATAAATGAACCTCTGTTTTTTCTGTTAGTTCACGAAATCACGCTTTGGTGGGTCACAATCTGCCTCACTGAAGCCACATTTAGTGGCTAGGAAGTCCCACAGCTCTTCCCCTCCTTCTCCATCCTCTGTCAGTTCTCCCTCTCCATCCTCTGTGAGGACCTCCATGCCTGCACCATCCTCCGTCAGTTCTCCCTCTACATCCTCTGCGAGGACCTCCATGCCTGCTCCATCCTCCGTCAGTTCTCCCTCTACATCCTCTGTGAGCACTGCTGTAAACACCATCCTGGCAGTAGGCTCTGTGAGTACTGTGTCTACTCGTTTGTATGGCTCTGTTGTAAATCTAAATGTAGCCTTTATATATTCAACAACTTGTTGTTCTCTTCCGAACAGAATGAGTCTGGAGGAGATGAGCCAGCCACTGCTGCTGCAGCTTCATTCTGGTTGCCTCGGGAAATGAGGAAGGCCATCCCTGTGCAGGACCAGAGGTGGATTTCCAACACCCTTTTTTATTCTGGCAAACTGCGGCCACATTTGAAGCTGTGGTACGAGCTTCCTGTCCCAGCCCTCATATACCACCAGACCCCGATGCCAGACCGCTTCTTCACCCATCGGCTGATGGTGTGGATGCCCTACCACCTGTGGAATGTGAGGGTGTTCTGCCCAACTTGTAGGAAGCAGCTGACGGGCTCGGGTGTCCATAGGAGGTCTCGGAAGGTATTGGACATCGACAGGTATTACCTGATGGTGACAGAGACACTCAGGTGCAGCGTGTGTGTCCTGAACTTTCTGTCGACCAGTCAGACCGTGCGGGACCAGCTGGACCTGCCGCACCAGAAAATGTTCCGGCTGATTCTGACCCATAAGTGAGTAAAGCAGTTTTTAAATTATGGTGATTGAGAATACTTAAACCACTGCAAAAAAATATATAGTCAAAAATTGTATATTACATGGAAAATCATAACATTTAATACATTTCAAATTTCTTCTTAATTAGTTAAATACAGCTGTGGTATGATATACAGGCTACATGATATTATCACTGTCTTATTTTGTCCCCTCCTGGTCCCAGCCCTGTGTAAACTATGTAAACTAGAAGGTAAAACTGATATAAATTAACCTTGTGTTACATCTGATGCAATGGGTTTATCACACACTTTCTGTGTTTTGGATAAACAAATACAATGAAATGTGCATTTCAGGTATGCTTGTGACATCCGTGTCATTCGGTTGCTTCGGGAGAGAACACTCGGCAACAGCCCAGCACGTCTTGTGAAGCAGCTGAAGGAGAACCATGGGGAGGAATGGCTGAACCGGTTGGCACACTATCTTGGGGAGTGTGCTGACTTTGTGGCTCGGCCCAGCCTCTTCCCTGTGGTTTGCCAGGAGCCCCCAGAGCCCATCGACATCCCAAGCAGTCGCTGGGTGCTGGCCGTGTACGGCAGAGATATACTCTCCCGCATGGACCACATCAAGGCAAGCATCACCTCGACATTTGGTTCCATTTTAAAGATGGACTCAACCAAAAAGGTAATATATAATGTGACTGTGTATTCAATTTCCATGTATGTTATACTCTTCTATACACAATCATATTTTTCCGCAGTGATAACATTACAAATATTGTTTCTATTGTACATGTGTTCAGTGTAATCGATCTACATACATTTACTGCTTTAACTTAAAACATCGCTGTTGTCACATTCCAGATCACAAAGAAGCTGGCTGGCCACGCCAAGGGGACAGCTCTCTGGGTGACCTCTATTGGTAATGAGGTCGGCCAGATTGTGACAAGTGTCCTCACAGTACAGGAGGGGCCTGGACTGGACACGATGGCCTCTGGTGTGATGGAGCGGTATCGCCAGGCAGCTGTTCCACCCCCAGTGCTGCTGTATGTTGACTGTGGCTGTGTGAGTGACGGGACAAGCATGCTGCACAGCAGGTTCAGTGATTGGCCAGATCTCCACATTCGGCTGGACATCTGGCATTTCATGAGGAGGTTGGCTGTTGGCTGCACCACTGACGCTCATCCCCTTTACCCCACCTTCATGGGCTGCCTGTCTGCATGCATCTTTGAGTGGGACGCAAGGGACCTCACTTTGTTGCGGCAGGCAAAGAGGGCGCTACTCGTGCAGGAGGGTGTGCCAGGTCTTACTGATCAGATGGTGGACGAGAAGATCAGTAAAAAGGAGCTGAGCCTGTACTGCCGCAGGAGGACGCACGGGGAAGTGGCCACTCTCACCCTCATTGAGCAGCTGCTGGAGAAACTGGGGGGGAATAATGGGAGAGACCTTATGGGGGTGCCGCTGCTGGAACAGGTGCGCATGGAGCACATTTGGCGTGTGCAGAGACACCACGTGAAGTGCATCCAGGATGTGCCAGGTGTGCAGCTGTACACCGTGACAGGAACCACCACAAAGAGTGGCATCCTGCTTATAAAGTACCGCTGTGCACGAGGGTCTACATCGCTGGAGTCATTTCATCTCCACCTAAACAGGTTTATTCCAGGTTGGTTCAATTATGTGTATGTTTTTCTTTGACATAAGTGTTCAGTTTGAAAAAGAAAACATTTTTCAATGGCAAAAATATTTGTATTTGTTCCCAGGAACCAGTGCAAATGCACTGAATTTCCAATTGTACCTCCTGGAAGGCCTGAACAGGTGGAACCAGGATAGAGCGGCTGCTGCGGTGACCAGCAAGCAGGCATCACTGCTGACATATGCTGGGGATGTGGCTCACTGTGTCAACACCAACAGCCTCAAGGTGTTTGGTCGAGCATTTGTGCCGACCTTCAGGCCGCCTGCCAAATACAATGGTATGTATAATTGATATCTGGCTTCATTACACTTTTGGTTTAAGGTTTCTGTGAATGTACTAAGTTAAACAACTATCATTGCCATATGATGATTTTTGACAGGAGAGCTGCTTGGTGTTGACTACTTACTCAGTCAGACTGGACGGCCTCTTCGAATCATCCCTGATTCCGAGGAGACTGAGAACATGTTGGAGGATGTGGATGAAGGTGAGGAAGAAGAGGAAGATGAGGGCTTTGAGGAGCCCACAGTCCCAATCCTCCTCCTTGATGACCCAGGGATCTCCATCTCCTCCTTGCCTTGTCCCTCTGCAACACTCTCCTCCTCCCAGCCTGCTTCCTCCTCCCAGGTTGCTTCCTCCTCCACAGCGGCTTCCTCCTCCCTGGCTGCTGCGTCCGAGCAAGCTGCTGACTCCTTGCACCATTGTGCCTCCTCTCTAACTGTTGCTCCCTCTCTGCCCTCCCTGTCCGCTGCCTCCTCTCGACCTTCTGCCTCCTCCCAGGCTCCAGCCTCCATGCCTCAGCCAGGTGTCTCTTCAGCACTTGATTCTGCGCCTCCTGATGAGTCTGGGGTATATAAATCAATATGCAATTATGTGTTTTAGCTGTGGTTGTATGTGGTTGTCCTTTTTCGCTGTCCTCACATTATTTTTCTCTTTTCTATATTTTTGCAGGCTGTGGATGACTCTGGCATGGCAGGCATGGACAGAGTGGACAGCTTGGCAGAGTGTCTGGTGGAGCTCAGGAACCAGCTGACTATGGTCCTAACAAACCAGCAGGTCAGGATCATGAACAGTCAAGCTGCTTTTCCTCTGTGCATATACAAGTTCACAATTTGAGATATTCTTGTCTTATGTGCTGTGTTCTCCCTCCCTCAGGTTAGCAACATTGTTGCTCTGTGGCTGAACCTGCTGGACTATGACAAGCAAAGGGTGGTTTTTGCTGCCAGACATCAGAGCAGGCTGCACACAGGGCGGTTCAGGTCTCCTAAAAAGAAGCAGGAGTTCACTCCAGGGGTGGAGAGTTTGAAGAGGCATGCTCTCACCACCACTGCCCCACTTGCACAGTGGCCAGATTGCTGCCGCCTGATTGAGGCCATCTTTGTCAGGCTCTGTGTAATCCACCGTAGTCCCAGGAAGAGGGGGACTGGCACAGTGTCAAGATGGGATCTCATCCTGGAGGACTACAGGAAAATCAGGCGCCGCATTCTGTCCAATGGGACAGTTATGCAGCAGACCACCCTGCAACTGGTGGACGTGAGCCACACCACCCTAGTGCAGTGGCACAATAAGAGGGTGAAAAGGGAAGACCATGCAGTGGTGTTGCAGGGGCTGGTTTTGCCTAGCCGCCTGTCTGTGGCATCTGACCCTCTTCCCCCTGCCAATGTTCGCCCCCAATCAGCAGCCCCCCAGCCAGGTGTTGCTTACCATTACATACTTCCAAGTAGCACCGTTGGCCAGGCAAAGCTAAAGAGGAAGGCCTCGCCCACAACAGCAACACCGGCAACTGTAAAGCTGCGTCCCCAGCTGCAGCTATTCCCTGCTCCATCCTCTGGCCCTCAGATGGTGCGGCAGCTATTCCCTGCTCCACCGCAGCTTCCCTCTGGCCCTCAGATGGTGCGGCAGCGACAGCTCTTCCCTGCTTCACCTTTGGGCCATTGCTCCTGGATTTTTAATCCAGTGACCTCACAGGTGCCGGTCCAGGTCGCTGCTCCACAGGCTCTGAATGCCAGCCTCTCCTCTGTTCTTCCTGCTCCTATTCCTGCTCCAGCCACCCGAAAGCTGACCCGCAAGGTTGTGCACAACACGTGCAAAAAGTGTGGGAAATTTCGCACAGCGGAAACTGGACACAGCCAGTACAAGGGAGTTGTTTACTGCCCCTTGGTTGAGGCTTTGCCAAAGGAGCAGTGGCTGAAGGACATGAAAAACAAAAAGTGAAAAGTATATCCGCCCCCATAGGCATTGACACTTAATTATGTATATAGTTTGGTTTACAGTTTTATAGTTATGTGTGTATATATATATATATATATATCTTATGTATAAATTGTATATAATAATGTTTATCTTCTATTTACGAGTGTTATTATCATTATTTTGTTGTACCGTTTTACTACTGTTTTAAATGTTATTATGTTTAACTCATTTAAAATAAAGGTTTGGCTTTTTCAAGTATACCTAGTGTCTGTCCAATAATTGTAGTGGAGTGCTATGTTTAGAATTTCTATAGTTTTTCGTTCACCTGTTCGAAAGCCAAAAACAAAATAATTATAAAACCTATACCTTAGTTGATATTAATGTAATGGTTATATTTTAATTATTTATCCACAGCACACAAACAATGAGCTTCAATAAAAGTCCATTTGGTGACTTAAAAACTATCCCTGATTTAAAAAAAGTATTTAATAAACTTGAAAGAAGTAAATAAGTTGTACTTAATATTTAATAGAAACGTATTAATAGTTAACTGTATAACACAAGTCTTATCAGTCAATATCTAATGAAGATATGCAACACAAGCACTTTTATTCCTCTCATGTTCTATATATTATACACTTCAATACTGACGGAGTTGGGATTCAATCCTGCAATCTTGTGGATGTTTTTTCCGCCGCAAGAAATAAACAAATACATACTTTTTTTGAAACACTACTGTATATAAACACTTTTAAATGCTACATGAGGAGAATTGGGAGCAGGAGAATCGTTTTTTTCCTCCTCTTTTCTCTTTTTCTCTTTTTTCCCTCTTTTTTTCCTCCTTTTTCTTCTTCCCCCTTCTTCCCCCTTCTTCTCCTTTCTTCCCCCCCCTTGCAAGACTATTGTTCCCCAGCTTTGGCGCAGTGGATAGAGCCTTGGTGTTGGGATCAGGGGGTCACAGGTTCAAACCCCACTGCAGTCAGCATATCGTTGTGTCCCTGAGACACTTCTCCCCAAATTGCTCTTGTGGGGATTGTCCACAGTATAGAGTATGTAAGTCGCTTTGGATAAATGCGTCTGACAAGTAACATGTAATGTAATATATTGCATAGTTTGTTTGGGACTTGACAATCAACTTTCCTGCAATGTTAACTATGTTGAAGCACTTATTTTAAAGTGGACCTATCATGCTATATTTGAATAATATATTGTAGGGCCATACCTATATAAAACATGTCTGTGAAGTTTTTTTTTCAAAATACCAAACAGATCATCCATTTTAGCCATGCCTCATTTCGCTCTATTTGCTCTTTTCCAGCCCTGTTTTTGCGAGGGCTGATTCTGTGAGAAGTCTTCTTCGCTGCTTTTGTGGCAGACTACAGCGCCACTTACAGGCCTGGCATATGTACTACAGCGTCTCCAGCGCTTTCGAGCGGCAATGGCCGTGGCCCAACCCCCCATTCCCCTGATAGGTGGAGAGTTGTCCTCGTTTCTGACGTCAGAACAATTTCAAATCAGCTCCGTTGCAACCCCGTTTTTAGAGATTTGGGTATGGAGGAAAAGAGAGAGGGTTGTGTTTTCTGACACTAAAAGACGTACAAAAGTGCATTTTGCATGATAGGTCCCCTTTAACTGATATTATACATATTTATTATACTCTTATAAGATGTATGTAGATAGAATAAGAAATGTGCAGAATATGACAGTTTAATGGTGGAGGTACACACATATTGATAGATGTCTTGTAATGCACTGTTGAGGAACCTGCGACCCAAGTTTTTCATTCAATGCATAACTACACCATAGTTGTGCATATGATATGTCAATAAACTTTAGAAAATCTTGAAAGGGATGTGCAAAATAGCCATTATATACAGTTTTTAATGAACGATTAAAGAATAACTAATGAATATGCTTTATAGGGATCTGCAGATACATATTTAGTCTTCTCAAGCACCAACTATCAAATATCTCGCCTAATTGTTTGCACTTGACAATCACCTTCCCTGAATTTTACTCAGGTGTAACTAAAGTCTGATTTAAGGGTTGTTTATATTTCACATCATTAATCAGAATCTGTAAAGTAACTAAAATAAATGTAGTGGAGGTTAACCTCTGAATTGTGGTGGAGTTTTTGCCATCCATGGAGGATCTTTACTCCCAGCGGCTCAGGAAGAAAGCCCTCAGGATTACAAAAGACCCCCATCACCCCAGCCACAAACTGTTCTGTCTGCTGCCGTCTGGCAGGCGGTACCGCAGCATCCGGACTAAAACCACCAGACTCAGGGACAGTTTCATCCCACTGGCCAGAAGACTATTAAACACCTGAACTTTTTTAACAACATCCATAACATTAATCTGGCTGCAATTTACAAATTATTTATCTAATATATCATATTTCAATCACTTGAATATCGACTCTTATTGCACTATTTCACTTTTTTACAATTTTTCTTTTTGTATTTACTCAGTTTTTCTGTTTAATTGTGTTGCACTGTTGGAGGAGCCTGTGACCTAACATTTTCATCGTCATAACTACACTGTAGCGTTCAAATCCTTTTTTGGATAGTCATTCCATTTCAGTGCTGTTTGACGCTCGGCATAAGCTTGGCGCACTGACACTCCAACATCCAATCACAGAGCTTGAGGACTAGTCACGGGGTTTGTCAAGCAAAGCGGACTGGTGTAGTCCCAAACGATAGCTGAGGATTATGGGTAGTGTAGTGTCTTCGGCCATCCTAAACTCCGAAAAAACTATTTGTTTCTCCGAAATGGAGAAAAACACAAAAGCATTGTACACAAGGTATAATTTGGTGTTTTTGAGTTGATGAGTAATGCAGATATCACTGTAAAATCAATCGACAGTAAGGAGAATACTTATTTCCGGGTGTAAAATTGGACGCTGCCGCCGACATGGACGGATGCGGTGCTTCCCTGAGCGTCAAATACCGATGGGAATACATTGCTAGTAGAGCACGTGCGTGAACTGCATAATTGCGCCGCATTTGCACTTCAGATGAGGCTCCCTCCGCGAGGTGAGGCCCCCCTTCGCGAGGTGAGGCCCCCTTCGCGAGGTGAGGCCCCCTTCGCGAGGTGAGGCCCCCTTCG